TTTTGTCTCTGTTTTGAAGTTTGTCCTCAATGCAACATGACTGTCCCGGTGGTCAGTTAGTAATGGATTTCTAAACTGTTGCGAGGGTTGCTGTTGAGGAATAAAGATTCTGTTCCCTGTATGTGCCATTTGCAGCTTTTTATGTAGTTGATTTAGGAGGCACAGACTGAATGACATAGCAATACAGAATGTTCCCCAAAACCTCAGATTTTGTTGTTTATATCATTGAAGATCATTATTTATCAGTGTGTAGCAGGTTTACACATGGCTATTTTTCTTTTCCTAGTAAAAAAGCACACTGCTTAAAAACATCTGATGGGGATGTTCAGAAATTCAACACAGCTGATTCAGAAGATGAGCCCCTTCAGGAGGATGCGGTACAGAAAAAGTTGCATGAGAGTGTCAGTCAATTTAATTTTAACTTCATGCCATGCCTGCATTAGAGAGGAGGGGAGAGCAAGACCTTTCATTTGTTTTTTAGTACTTCCTTAGTACTTAATTGTATCCCAAATAATTAATCTTCAAAGTATTCCTGTCAGATGGCCAAGTGAAATGCTTAAAGCTACAGTCATCATGTCAATGGGGAATATAATAGCCAGGTATTCCTGGGTCCTGTACCCCATTCTCTTGCTCTTTTGGGAATATGTTCTTTCCTTCTTTGAAATAACTTTTTTATATCTGGAATATATGTTCTAAAAAAATGACATACTAAATGGAATATAAATCCCTTGTACTTGTTCAATATTGAAGTAAGAACATATTTAAGAGAGAATTGAATTTTTCATTGATAAAATTAATTTTGAATATATATTAGACAAAAACCAGTTGGTTTTGAATGAGTGTTTTTCCACACTTAAACCACAATTAGTGTAAAATGCTTTTGGCCCACTTAGCTGCCAGGCATGCAAAGGAAGAGTTAACTATCTGCAGACTTGAGAAAGTAGGCCTATGATAAAAGAAGCTATGCAGTAGTTTGCATAGAAGTTTTTTGCGTGTTGAAATTTAGTGGAATTGTTGAAAAAAGTGTCGTCAAATTCAGTACAGCCTTTCATCAGTAAACTGCATGTATGTTGTAGAATTACTGTTGGTGTCATAAAGTCTTCAAAGCAGAGAAAGAATTAGGACAAAATGTGAGTGAAAAGTAAGGTAAGGAGGTGCTGTTGATCAGAGAACTGTTAATTTTGGCAATAACTGCTGAACTGAGGGGCCACATGCTCCTTAAAATGTCCCTCCTGCTGGACGGCCAGTGGCTGACATGTCAGTCAGGCAACTGCTGTCCCTCAGCAGTGTGATCGCTGTGCTGTGATTCTGGCAAAATAGGCCTAAGTATATGGTACTGACATTTTGGTCGTGAAAAACTGTAATACTTCTGTGTGTTCTGCCTAATTGCCATCTTTCAGAATTTTAAATGAGTGAGCCTAGGGTTTGGGATTTTTTTTTAAGTTGATCTGCTTTTTATATCACAGAAGGCGCTGAATACTACTCAATTCCAGGCGAAAAAGAAGCGGCCTTCAGAGACCACCACATTGGATCCTTCTGGTAAAGTAGACTTTTCAAAACTCCCATATAGCCTTTCCTCACTCAAGATGAATGCTTTTCCGTAACTCAATGGTTTAGTTTCTGGTATGTAGCAACATACTGCTTCTAGAAGTGGGAGGTTTTAGTTTCAGTTTTGGTCTAGACAGCCATTAGCAACAGTTAAATGGAGGGTCTGGTGTGCCATGATCCCCATGATTTGCAACCCTGGACTTGCCTGTTGCTTCCCTGAAGGGGTAAGGTGTAGGTGTGCATTATCCCTTGCACGCGGCCTGGTTCCCTTTGGAGGGAAGCTTGGGTCCATGGATTTGGAGCCGTAAGACACTTCAGTACATCCCATAGCCTGGAAGCCTGGAGCACCAGCTGTGGGGCAGAGCTTGGAGTGCCCCTGACTTACAGTGGAGGCACAGCTGGTAGGATAAAGACCTTTGAGATAAGGAGCTTCAGGACAGTGGCATATTTCGGTAGAGAGAAACTTTTTCTCAGGTGTCATCTTGCTTCCTTTGAACAGTACCTCATCATATTCAAGTCCTAGATTTACTTTTGAGAGTGTGTGAAGAAGCATGGTTTAACTTTTTGTGAAATTAATAATACTATTGCAAAGCTTAAAGAAACATATTTGTGTATAACTTTTTTTGGAAGCATGTATGGTATTAATACAAAATTTATACAAATATAACAACTCATGATTCTTTGAGTAATGCAGGTTGCCCAAACTCAGGCTAATAGTTTTTACAGCACAAACAGCTATATCTGCAGTACACTGTGTGGTTTATCAGTTAGTTTACTAACGTGCTCCTGGACTTGCTTGAAATGATGAAGAATAAGAAATAAGTTGTATATGATTGATCATCCAAATTCTAAAGTGTTCCCAGATAAATCTATCATAGTTGCTTAGCCCAAGACAGATGAAATAATTCATATATCCCTCTCTTCAAGTTTCATATTAAAGTATTTGTAACATCTAGATGATTATGTTAATGGCGGGCACAATAACTTTTCTATTATTTTAGAACATGGACCAGAATTGTGCAATGCTTATCTTTATTCTTTTGTTTCAGTGAATAGCCCATGTTCTGTACACATTTGGTGTCCCAAAGAGCTGAAGAGATCTCCTACAGATATTACAGAACTGGATGTTGTTCTGGCCGAATTTGAGAAGATGGCAGCAAATTACAGGTAAATATTCTAATGGGCTGTCCTTTAGGGAATGCAGTATTGCATGGTTACATTCTGATGTTATTTTAATGATTATTAGGTTTCTGTGACACAAATATTTTTTCATATGCGATCTTGAGGTGGTCTCCAGGGATTTGATATTTTTCCAAACATAAGAACACCACATCTCAGCTGATGTTTTTCAATGTAGAAATTAAGCTATTGCTTAAAGAAAGCAATCAGAAAGATCTGCAGTTGCCTGTGTCACTAGCTGCTTAACACTGAGTTTTACTCGTTACTCAAAGGAATGTTTTTGGATGAGATTTCTCCTTTACTAAACCAAATGGGTTGTGTCTTGTCCCTCTGACTTCCCCAGACAGAGCATAGAATCAAACATTGGCAGAAAAGCTATCAATGACTTCTGTTCCGCTTTCAAGGACCAAATCACTGATCTTGTAAGTATACTATAAATAAAGTCAATTTTGTGATAGTGATTATAGAGCTGTATATTACGTTGTAGTCAAAATGCCTATGGTTTTATATTGTCCTTGACACATTTATTTTATGATACTTCACATTTTGTAATCTCTTGTCAGGATAAATAATACGAAAACAGAGTTTGCTGTGTGCAGGTTATGATTTGCAGCCTCTGTGCTGGCATTCATGAGAATTGCCTTTTGACACAACGCTGCGGTTGTGCAAGTACCTTGCAAAATTGGCAGCTGTTTAGAATAGGGAAGCATCTAATAATCCTGAAGTATTTGTCATATCTAAAGCATTATAAAGCTGCATAATTTGAATGAGCAAACAGTTATGTCAAACACCATTTTAAAACCTTGTGGACTGGAGTTGTAAAAGATTGATGATTTAATCTTTATACTGCATCTCAGTCACTCTTGTGTAGAGGTCTGACTAAGGTTTCTAACGTAGTTCAGGGAAAATCATCCTTTTTTAATTAACAGTTTGAACCTAACTGTAAAAAGCTCATTAGCTTAGATTACATTTCTTCTCACTAATTACATCTAGTAAACTCAGAACTTTGTAGGATTGGTGGTAAGCACAACGGGTAAGTACTAGAACTATAATTCTAAGTGATTCATTAGAATGAGCAAGTTTTAAAATGACTAGATTTCTACATTTTCTGTGAAGTTATAGAAAAATTAAGCTAGGTAGTTATTACACTAATTGGTACAAGAGGCATTACTTGCACTAACTAGTGCAAGATGACTAATTTTGTGCAACAGTCTTCCTCGCATGAAGAGAGAGGAAAGAACTTGTAATCTTCCTTTGAACCAGTGTTGGTTTTTTTAATAGCTTTTTATGTTACACCAAGGTAATTCTTGCAACCATGTTTTTAGAAGGATAGAGATGAAATTAAGATCCACAGTCAATCTGTAATTCTTCTTTTTCCTCTATAGATAGCGGAAGTCCAGGAATTAAAGAATATGAAGAAAAAAAATGCGAAGGTAAATACATATCTGAAAGATATGCTATCACTAGGCTGTACAGCATACAGAGGCGGGCATTGAAACTTCAAAAAGTTGCCTAAGAAATAATTCACAAAAAAAGTGTACTGTACTACAGAATCAACTGCACAAATAGAGGATAGAGGTTTTTCTAAAAGATCTGAGGAAATATGATGGATTGCAAACTCCGTACATATACTGCTATACCAGTCTAAGGAGGAGTAGTACACATCAGGGTGTGTAGGTATCTATGCATGTAAATTACTCTTTTCTTTAATGATCACCAGTGAAGCCCCTGGAGAGCCAATTAAATATTGAGAGCTAACCTTCAAGAAACATAGATGAATATAAAATCTAGGAGAGCAGCAAAGATGGTGACCTGTGAGGACAAAATTGGGTTGTTTAATTTAAAGGAGAGAAGTCTAAGGGAACCTGCGTTCCCTAAATATATGCAAGATTTCTGTTCAGAAGGTGACGGTTCCTCTGTTTGTTCAGAGCAAGTAGTAATTGACTGAAAATGCCACAAAGGAATGTTGATGGAAGGAGGAACTAGTGTAAGTTATCCTTATTTTGCCTCTTATACATTTTTTAGAAATCAGATTTCACGTGCTAAATTTATAATTATTTTTTAATTGGATGTTGTAATAAAGACAGCTTAATTATCCTTAGTTACGGCAATCATACTGAACATACATCCATATTACTCTGCATTTTTCAAACAAAAACCAGCCAGAGTTGATCGTGTTTGTGTTCAAAATGTGACAAACTCCTCTTGTGTGCTTGTAAATCCAGTGTTCCTTAAGAGAAATTTTGGATGGAAATGAGAGTTTAACACTTGAAAGTACTCTAAAATATCTAAAATATGAATTTCAAATATGGCAGTTTATAAGGTCTGGTATCTTGGAATCTTCCACACCAAGAATCAAAAGCATAAAACCTCAAAGACAAAAGCCAGTAGCATTTGAGTTGTTGCCTTTGAAGTTACAGAAACCATTTCAAAGACTTTCCTCACTCTGTGTTTCAGGTAATAACAAACATCAAAAAGAAAAGGCAGCAACTGTTGCAACTCAGAGAAGAGCTAATTGGGTATGTTTCTAATGAAGCACAATAATAGCCTGAAGAGCTTAAGGAGTCTGGTATTTTTTAACTCAGAAGTGAAAGTACTATTTTTTTGTTCTTTCATTTTGACGAAACTCTATCTGTTCTGTATTGCTTTCTGTTTTTACAAAAGCTCGGGATAACCTCTCTTCCCATATTTCATTCTCGCAAGTTCTCTTAGCTAACTAGTAACTGGGATGGTATTTCAGACCGTAAGTTCATTAAAAAATCTGCTAACGTTACAGTTGGAATTGCAAAGGTGATGAATCATAAATTTACAAAGGCAATACAGAGGGCTTTTCTGGTTTTGAGGTGGGAGAATGTATTTCACATCTGCGATTTGTCAGGGATACCTCTGAACACATGGTTTGCTTCCATCTCATGGGGCCCCACAATTCCCTTTCTCTAACTTGGCATTAATCGTAAGTATCATTTAGATACACAACATAGAAATTACGTTCTCCGGAAGAACCATTAGACTGCCCCAAATCCAGCTGGTTACTAGTGACAAGCTTTGTACTGAAGCTGCTTGTAACACACGTGTTAACTCTGTAGGGAACTATGGGCTTGGATGCACAAAGGCAGATGAAAGCCTTTCCTCCGTGGCCATGAGTCTTGTTTTCTTTGCAGTATTGAGGACAAACTTCACTCAAAGAAATAATTAAAGGCATCCCTCAATATGGGTTTGAATTCCTGCACAGATCGAAAGCTCTCTTCGCATTTTTCTATTGGTTGTGTTTTAATCATTTGATCATTTTAAGAAAGCTTTTCTGCTGTGGGACTATTAAATGAAAATGGCTTTTGGTGTCCAGATTTTGGAGTGCTAATTTAACGTGTTGAGCCCTCCAGTTTACTTAGGCAGAGGTGTACCTAGTTTGTAGATCCTGAGTGTGCTTCAGCATACTGAAGGATAATAATGAGTGTGCTTCAGCATACCTGAACAGCTCAGCCTGCAGCAGGTGTGTGCAGAGCAGAACACCGGGCACGTAAGAAACTTCACTTAAAAAATGTGAGTGCTAAAGAGAGAGTGGCTGTATTGTCAGACTCACAAGTGAGATGTGGAAAAAAGTTGGGCATTTTTTGTGGATTTGGACCCATGCTCCTATTTAAATAACATGCTGGTTGGTCTAATTAAACAGTATGTTCTACTTAAACAGTACTAACCTGGGCTTTCTATTTCTGACCAACCTTTCCCTTATGTCCTCTGAGGAAATATGGTCATAGTTACTCCTGAAAAAAATATCAGATATAGTCACCAAAGCCTTGATCTTTTTCAGAGTTGAACCACAACTGATAAAACTACAAAGAGAATATGCTGAGTTACAGGAAAGAAAATCTTCCTTGAGGCAGGCAACTGAATTACTTACTGATTTAAAGGAGCTACAGCAAGACTGTTTGGATTATAGAGAAGAAAACCCAAGAGACAAAGTGGTAGTAAGTACATATTTTGCATGTGTTTCTGAACTGTTCTGGATCTTCCCCCCCCGACTGATGGGCATTTCTATTAAAGTTTAACTTATATTGAATAACAATATTTTGTTAATTGTCCTTGTGGAAACAACTTGAGAATCACTGCTGGAACTGTACTGCAGTATCTCACTCATTTTTTTTGATCTCATGTTAGAAACTAAAGTATTTCAGAGAGGATCGTGCTACCTTGCTGTCTATGTTGATGAATTCAAAGGACATAGAAACGTAACTGTTGTCCTCAGACCCAACATTTTAATAGAAACTAATGAAAAATTAACAGTGAGAAACAAGTAATCCATTTCTTTTCTTGTTATTGTTCAAAGGTAGGGAAA